CAACCACTCAACTACCAACAAACAACCGCTCAACTACCAACAAACAACCACTCAACTACCAACAAACAACCGCTCAACTACCAACAAACAACCACTCAACTACCAACAAACAATCATTCAACTACCAACAAACAACCATTCAACTACCAACAAACAACCACTCAACTACCACAGGTCAGGTCCAGTTAAACAGGACATGTAGTGTCCTCGACATGTCTCTCCAGCACATAAACAGTACCGGTATGTGAAAGCCACGTCTTTAAGAAACTGGAACAAATCCATCAAACAGCTGAGATAAATCATCCTTTATTCATCATCAGAGTTTTAAAAATCACCTTGTTTGGAGCCTGTCAGACTATTTTATCATTGCTATTTTTCATCAGTTCAACTAATTAAAAGAGATAAAAATATGTTTTTTTGATGAGATTCTAATAAACTCTGTCTCCTCCATCTTTAACCAGAACAAATACTCCAACATCTAACCTGCAACGTTTTGATGTTTGGTTTTTACACTCTCTCCTTTCATTCTTTAGATTTGTGTTTGTTCTTGTCTTTTGACTTCATGTATAAAACATTTTGATTGGGGGGTGGGGGGTTCCCACACCAGCCGGTACCAGTCACTTCCTGTGACCCCGCCACCATCATCGGCGTTGCACGATAACACGCCGTCAAAGAGTTCAGTCAGCGGTTAGCCCGCCCCCTGCTAAAGGTGCTTTTTGTGGACTCTCGTCTTCACTAATGAAGAACATTTCAAGTGACGGTTGGAGGGCAGAGAGGAGAACGAGATGAGGGGGAGGGAGGAGGAAAGACGTAAGAATGGCAGAAAGACAAAAAAATTATGGAATAAAATACTTCATAGAAAGAAAAGTGACAATAAAAAAGATGCTGAAAGGAAAAACAAGAGGATAAAGAAGGAGTCTGATGGTTTGGAGAAATAAAATAAGAGTAACGTCTGAAGTCAGTGTGTTGTCTGCTGTCCACTTCTCAGTCCTCTTCAGCTTTATTGATGAACTCAGTTCCTTCAGAGACCCAGGTCAGAGCAGCTCTCCTGGGCTCCGCCCCTCAGATCCAGCTGTAATCAGCCCGGTTTACCCAGAAGGAGCAGCGTAAACTGTGCAGACAGCAGAGGCAACCCTGCAGCTGAAAAAAGTCTTTTTACTGGAGGGAAGACCATGAACTTCATGAAATAGTGACTTCAGGTCAGAAACTGGACAAATGTTTGGTATTTTGGAGGAAAGTTCTGTAGTTTGAGGAAGAAAAGATGATTTTTCTAAATAGATTTAAAATTTAAAGGTGAGAGGACCTTTACACTCAAGTAAAGGTCTGACCAGATCTACAAGGTCTATCCATGGTCTGAAGAAGGTTTACCCCTGAGGTACTCCTCTGAGGGGTCTGCAGGTGTTCAGGGTTTCAGGTTCCAGTCCTTGAAGCACCAACATGAGACATTTGTCCTGACAGGACATGGACAGGATCTTAGAGGTGACCTGGTTTGGTCTGTAAACTTGTTTGCAGATGATGTGGTTGTGTTGTTGCACCGGTGCAGGTCTCAGCTACAGTACATTGAACCATTCCTCTTTAACCATCTTTAAATGTTTTATTTTTGATTCCAGCCTCTCAGCAGGTATCCTGCGCTCTACAACGACATCTCCTTCTGGTTACCGGACACCAGAGACAGCCAGCCGGACGAACAGAGCTTCACTGACAACGATTTCTACGAGTTGGTGCGATCAGTCGGAGGAGACCTGGTGGAGAAGGTCTCCCTCGTGGACACCTTCCAACATCCGAAGTAAGAAAACCTGGACTTTAAAGTCCTGATCAGTTATCAAACTCTATCAGGATCACATGTAGGTCTGATTCAGTCCAACGCCAGTCCCTCCAGTCACTCCAGTCCTTCTAGTCCCTGTAGCCCCTCTGAGGTCCAGGACTCTGAAGGTGACTCTGCAGGGTCAGACCATCAGGGCTGGGTTGGGTTCAGTTAAAGGTCATTCTCTCTCTTGTGAAGCTGCTGGTAGTCATCAGATTTAATGAACACACACACACAGACCCACACAGAGCCCCCCCACACACACACACACACAGACCCACACACACACTCCTGTTTGCACAGTTGTTTTTGCTGTAAAAGACAATAAACAGAAACACACTCAGCTGTCCTTGGTGAACACCTCTGATCTGCAGAGCTGCTGGTGACGTCTCATTTTTAGGAAGTGTGTGTGTGTGTGTGTGTGTGTGTGTGTGTGTGTGTGTGTGTGTGTG